GTTTTCAAAAATTGGTTTTATTGAGTCAAGAAAGGGAAAAAATTTCAAAGTCTTACTTTTTATCTTACCACTCTTTAGCACCATTCTTAGATTTATTGATTGCAGAAAGTACTATAGATGCTAAAGTGGATCACCGATCACCTATGTCAACACTTTCATGATTGCCTGGAAGAACCAAAGCTGATTTCCAACCTAACCTGACATCTATTGCTTGTCTTGGGGCTTGGTATACAAGGGATCGGAATCCTCTTGCAAGTTTGGAAGGTAAAAATCTCAAAAATTTTGGTTTCCTTCTTTCCTTCATTTGGCATCCCCAGAAAATAAAAGATTGAGATGATTTCCTGAGAGGCAGAGGGAGAGGTACATTACCCATGACCCCATTATTCTAAATCAAAGGAATGATCACACATTGTGGAAGCGAGGGAGAGGTAAATTACCTATGACCCCACTATTCGCCCACACTTTGTCAAAAAAGTTACAAAAAGTAGAAAGATCAATAAGATGAACATTAGTTGTTCATTGGGATTGATATATAAAAAAAAGAGAAAGAAAGAATTGGGATTCAGAAAAGGGAGATAAAGAGAGAAAGGGAACCAGGATGAGAATGCCTGAAACTTGTTTGAGTTGAATCCAAGTGTTCCTTGACCGATACCCCCAAGGTAAAGCCTACACCTTTATTTTTATGCATAAATGAAATCAGTAGAGGGGATAGACAGACAAGGAATGTTTAAGTTGATTGGCTAGATGTATTTGGTTGCTAAGCTAGGATATGGTATAATGTACTTCTGTAGATGATAGATATGAGATGTGGCCTGCAACAAAGTAGAGGTGATGATTTTAAAGTTAAGATTTTGATTGAGTCCCTGCTGTTTTTAAACTTCTTTCAAAGACTAACTTAAAGTTTGCTTGAGGACAAGCAAAAGGTTAAGTCTGGGGGGATGATATACCATGATTTTGATCCACTTTTAGTCATGGTATTGATATGTTTTTATGATAATTATATATGTTTTGGAGTCTATTTAGAGTATTTACAGGTCCAGGTACGTCCTGGTGAAATATGGTGATTTTGGTGTCTTTTGGAGCCCTTAAGTGCAGAACTGCGCAGACGCGTCAGATGTTTAGATATGGATGGAGACCTTCCCATGGTGAGATTTAGCCCATATTTTGACAGAAGATAGAGCTTTGAGTTATATTTCCAATGCCATCGGTTTTAGGTCAATCCAACGGTTAGATCAGAAGTTATACCCGTTTTACTGAAGCGTGGTCAGTCTGCCTCGCGAGAGAAGGCTGTCGAGAAGATATGTGCATGTCGATCGATGGGAGACAGATCATATCGGTCGATATGAATGCCAGAACGTGGGCTGACTATATTTCATAACCGACTGAAGCCCAGAAGTTACCATAATACCCTTGGACGACCAGAAACCCTAGTTATGATATTTATAAACCATTGTTGACGGCTACAAGCTATCTAAGCTTTCTAAGTTCTTTCCAATTGTTTCTCTTAGTTAGGAGAGAAGGGAGGAACTCTTATCAGAGTCCTCCTGGAACTCCATTGGTTTTATTATCTATTCTATTTCAGTTTTACATCTATTCATCTATGATTTCTGTGACAAACTTCATGTCTGAATAGATCCACCTGTTGGATTTAGGGTTCAGATAGGTTGTGGGATTAGCCCCAACTATAGATTGCTAAGTTGTGATATTCATTGTTAGGGTGTTCTTAATGCTTGTTTCTAGAGTCATGAACTAGAACCATGAACTGGAATAGTTTAATTTATTAATCTTCATCCTGACATCATCCTCTACAAACTCAGACTCTATTAGGCACGATGCGACAGCCGGTTTAATAGAAATTCTCGAGTGAACGCAGTTTCAATTCGATCTGATGCTATATATCGATCGATACTCTTATAGAGTCGTCGATCGACGGCAACACATATCGACCGACACTGCGATAGCAACATCGGTCGATACTGTCGACATTCAGATCAATGGACGAGTCTAACTAGCGACAGCTATAGATTTGTCTAAGAATTGAAGTTCTTATATATCATGCATGCAACTTGTTAGGCATCTATAGCATTATAATCCTGATTACCTGAATAGAAACCCTAGATCTAGCAACCATCCTTCCATCCAACAAGTCCTTGCCAAGCTAAATAATTACCTTGTTCAACTTGTTTATTACTTTATTTATTTACTGCTTTATTACCTATTAGCCTAACTTAATCATATAACTATTACATCTTTTAGGTTCCCTAGCTCCCCGTGAATTCGATCCCTAAGTAATACAATTGAACCTCTTATTTGAGAGAGTAATTCACTCCTTAGAGTAATTCACTCCTTAGAGTAATTTGAGTGATATCAAGTACAAAGTTATATTTTTCACCACTGCGAGAACGAGATCCTCCCAAGACTCGGAATGAACCGTCCCTTAAACCACTAAATTCTACCACTAAAAAACAGATAGCAAAGAACATATCTTAGCTACTGATAATACTATCATGATAATCCAATTAAAGAACATAGCAAATGGAACTAAAGATTGACAGTGAAGCTCAGCCATTTACGTCAACACCCGAGAAGGCGCATTTTCTCACTTAAGATTACCCGTGAGCTAAAAACAGAGGTTCTGCAAAAAAAGTCGGGTTGAGGCAGTGACACCGATCCCAGCTTCTCTGAAAAGCTGTAGAGACAAAGAAGGCTAGGCTACCGGATCTTGCAATCACATGGTACTGCGGATGCCAAGCTCTAAGCGTGTTCACCACCAGGCCTACAAACCACACCCGGAGACCACTCGGGGAGTCCATAACCCACCATGTTCCGCCTACGAGAACCATAGGGACGGCTTCTTCTACAGCACGGCTTCACTCCGACGTCGAGGTATCAATTGATCTGAGTGAAGCATCGCCCATTCCTCCTCCATCTGAACCATAGACGCTTCAGATGATCTCAGAGATGGGACAACACACGCATCACGAAGTGGATCTGACAAACACACATCCGCCTTATCCCCTTCGTTACGCCTCAGAAGGAATCTTCCAAAGTTCACAAGGGTGAAAAAATGACGTTGAGCCTCCCAAGCGCCGAAGTTGCTTCACGCGCCATCACCCACCGCTCTTCTTACTTCTCTGAGAAATAAGTCGACTGGCAACATCAACTTCCAGATCTGTAGAAAGAGGGACCGAATCGCAACCTCTCTTCACCGCCTCAGAACCGAGATCCAACGAAGCCAAAGGGAAAACTGTTCGTGGAGCATCGGCTACAGAACCCTAAGATCCGACCCGTCTCGTGCCATCCTCGCCACACGACTCGCTGCTGCTCCANTTCTCTGAGAAATAAGTCGACTGGCAACATCAACTTCCAGATCTGTAGAAAGAGGGACCGAATCGCAACCTCTCTTCACCGCCTCAGAACCGAGATCCAACGAAGCCAAAGGGAAAACTGTTCGTGGAGCATCGGCTACAGAACCCTAAGATCCGACCCGTCTCGTGCCATCCTCGCCACACGACTCGCTGCTGCTCCAAATCCATCCTCAGCCGGCCCGATTTAATCTCAGCCGCGGACAGAGCTTCCATCAGAGGCCTCCGATGAGCACCACAACCGCAAGCATATCACCGGGACTTGGAAGGCTCCGAGGAGGCAAAAGAAAAATGAGAAGAAAAGGGAAAGAGAGACCTCCGACACCGGTTAGGGTACCGGCACCGGGGGATATCCGCCACACTTATTAAGGTTTTGTTGCTTTTGGTTTCTGTCGAGAGAGAAAAGGGGTTTTTTCACTGCGAGTTTTATGCTTATTTAGTAGATTTCATAAAATTTGTTCTTTAATGTTGTGCGCATCGTTGGCTTACATGCAATGCAAGAATATAATTATAAGTTTTTTTTATCAAAATATAATTAAGTTAGAGCCATTTTCCTTCGAGACTTCTCGATCGACATCATTATCTGTTTTTTTTTCCTAACAGTAGTTCGAGTATTTGCTACTAATCTTTATTGCAATATAAATCACATTCAATAAATGAAAAAAAAAAAAAGCCATTATAAAAATGCAAACTTCTTTAAAAATAACGAACAGAAAAAAACATAAGATGATTTTTGCAGTCTAGCAAGCATCAGGGGTACTTCCAATATCAAAGTTCATGCTCACTTCTACAGAACTCTGCGAGTTCATGTTTTGACTTGTTCCTCCCCTTGAGTTTTCATATGCCAAGCACTCATTTAATTGAGTAACAACTTGAGACATGGTTGGTCTTCTAGCTGAAGAAGGATTTAGACACGACATCGCTAGTTCAACTGCCCTCCAGACAGAATCAGAGTCATAATCTCCATAGAGTTTTGGATCCATAATGGTTTTGAGGTCTCCTTTTGTAAGCATTAATCCAACCCATTCTGCTATATGTGGTTTTTCACGACTTTGATTGATGACAGGCTGATTTGTGATGATCTATAGTAGTACAATTCCGAAGCTATAAACATCACTCTTTTCATTCAACCAATTGGTTCGATAATATCTGCAAAAAAAAACTTTTTACGGCATTAGAAAATATAAAAAATGCAAAATTATTGATAAACGACTTCATAATACTTACTCTGGATCAAGATATCCAGGAGTTCCAGCAACTACTGTCGACACATGAGTTTCTCCTTCAACCGGAAAAGATCTTGAAAGCCCAAAATCAGCTAACTTGGCTTGAAAATGTTCATTCAACAATATATTTGTGGTTTTGACATCCCTATGAACCATTGGTGGTTTGCATCCATTATGTAAGTATTCCAAACCTATGCAACAAGTGTTATTTAATTTTCAGCAAGGTTTAAGAATATAAATAGAAGAAAAAACGAAGCTATATATCAAAGCTTATATCAAACCTTGTGCAGATTCGACGACTATTTTCAGTCTAGTTTCCCAGTTCAAGATAGATCCACCTCGTTTTCCTACATTGGAACCAATGTATGAATATATGAAAACACCATAAACAAATATAGTATCTGTAGCAATTCATACTTACTACTTACCTGACATATGTTCTTTCAAGTCTCCGTTAGCCATGTATTCATATATAAGAGCCAAATTTTCTCCTTCATCACAATATCCAACCAGGCCAACCAAATTTTTGTGGTAAACTCTAAGAAGAAGTTCCACCTAGAAGAGAAAAATAACCACAAAATCAAAACTTGAAATGCCATTTGTTCTACAAATTTTGAAAAAATAAATTTGCTAAAAGTTACCTCTGCCTTAAATTCTTTATACCCTTGAGAAGAAGAATGTGAAAGCATTTTAACAGCTACCTGTTCAGTACCATTTACAATCCCATGATAGACCATTCCAAATCCTCCTTTACCAAAGACTCTTCCAAAGTTATTTGTCATGGTTACAACCTTTGAGTACGTAAATCTTTTGTTTTTAAGTCACTATCACCGGTTCTGACGATCCAGTTGTTATAGGATCTGGTGCTTGTGTACAGACTGATGGACCTAATTTTACAATACATCAGTCTCGTTAGACTTTTCACATATGTATGATGAATACATTGCAATGTTTATGTCAATTTAAAAGGGGGATTTTATATACCTTGACTGTTTTCTGTCTTTTTCCTTTTGAATACAAAGAAGAAGACCACTGCAATTCCAAGAACAACAACGAATACGACCGATACAACAACCGGTACTACAACATTCTTTTTCTTGGAACCATCGGTTTTGTTTACACATGGTTTACCCGCACAAGTAAGATCCGGGTTTCCATCATGACTGAGAGTTAATTATAAATGGTATTTAGAATATCTAAACAAATCACATGGTTTAATATACTCAAGAAGAAAATATGATATATGATAAAACATTACGTAATTAAATTTAGTCCTTTCTTCTTTAGAAGGGCTTGGGGAACTGAACCTTTAAGATTGTTCCCACTTAGATTTCTGTTAAGATAGAAACATGAGTTATGAACATGAGCAATCTTGTAATGGAGAAAACTGGTGGATTATATTGTCCCAAAAGCGACTTACATGACCAAGAGTGATTTAATGTCCACAAGAAACTCCGGTACTTCACCCGTCAAATTGTTATTTGACAAGTCTCTGATTAAAGTTTTCAAATGTAAAATGTGTTATAACAAAGATATATTTAATGTGGACAAGTTGTTTTTACTATTCTCCGTACCGAATACTTACAATTCTTGTAGATGGGTTAGATTCTGAAAGGCAGGCGCGATGATTCCCGTTAAATTACTTGATGATAAGTTCCTAAGACATATTCATTAGCGCAGATTACATAAAAATGAGAAAACGTTGTGAGCTAAACCGGCACAATATATAAAATTTAAAAGACTGGTCTTACAAAAAAGTGACTATAGGTGGCATTGAATTCTCTAGGTTGTCACAGTTTAAACCATCCCACAAGAACTCCCTAGGAACACATGGATCTCCTTGCCAGTTAACCTTACTCACTCCATAAGTATTTTGGATACTCTTGATAGCAAGCACTAGTATAAATTCTTGTTATATACATATTCAATACGTGCATAAAAATGTAGGAGTCAAATAGAGGTAAAAACATATTTGACATACCATCATCTTGGTTTGTTTTCAGTTGCGGTAGTTCGATCACATAGTAAATCTCTAAAGCGTTCATGAGAGGAGGAAGAGTAGATTTTGACGTTCTTGATAACTCTATGATGCATAATCCTTCTTCACATTGTTTTGTGGAGTAGAATATAGTTTCCATGGCCATCCTTTTAGGACTATAGCGTTCAGACACAAATTCACCATTCACGGATACACTGAATTCCCGGGTTTCATTGACCTGTAAAGTTTCAATCTCGGCAAAGTGCATGTAGATATAAAATTGGGTCCATGGCGCAAAAGCACTTATAGGCGTTGAGGCTGACGCCATCACAACTTGTGGTAGATTATAATCATTAGAAGAAATGTTTGCAATGGTATTGGTTACTTCTGTCCAATTAGCTCCATTGAAATACGCTTCCCAGTCACGATCATAGGTATCATTGCGGTACCTAACAAAAGTTGTTTAATCATGTGTGGTGTGTTAGGAGACTACAAATTGGGATGAGCATAAAAACCTAATCCAACTATGCTGAATTTTTGTATTAATTCAAATGATACTAGGTGTTCTCATGCACCATGTGCAGTAAAAAAATTTAAAATATTTTTTTAACAGATACAATATAAATTATGTTTAAAATTAAATTTTATTAATATTAGAAATTTTCTTTTTCTTATCACTATTTTAATACAAAATTTTGTTTAATTAAAAATAAAAATAATAGAAAAATATTTTTGTTTATTTTAAATTATATTTAAGAATATTCATGTANCTTTTTCTTATCACTATTTTAATACAAAATTTTGTTTAATTAAAAATAAAAATAATAGAAAAATATTTTTGTTTATTTTAAATTATATTTAAGAATATTCATGTATATATTTAAAATTCTAATCTTAGATAGATTTTTATCTATTTATTTTAATTAAATATATTAAATAAATTTTTAGAAATTTTTATAATTATCAAAAATTAAAATTAGACAATATTTATTAAATTTGTAAATATATAAGAAATTAATAATTTTACGGTTAAATTTTAATAATTTTCAAAAAAGGTATACATTTTTGAAAAGTTTGTAGTAAAATTGTATAATTTTAAAATATATAATTAAATGATATTTTCGAAATTTATAATGCCATATTTGAATATAATTATTTTAATGATGATTTATGAGTTATTACCATATTTTGAAAATATTTCCAAAAATATAAATCGATAGCAAATCTAATATGAGTTGTTACATATTTTGAAAAGTTTTCCAAATTATGTTTAAAATTAAAATTTTATTAATATTATATTTTTTCTTTTTCTTATCACTATTTTAATACAATTTTTTTAATTAAACATAATAATAATAGAATTTTTTTTTTAAATTATATTTAAGAATAGGGTAATTCTCTCAAATAACCCTCTTTTAAGTTTTTTATCACAAAAATAGACCTCAAAAATTAAAATGACCAAAATAGCACTTTTTATTTTCAAAATTTTATGTTTTTTTTTAAATTCGAAACCCTATCTCCAAAATCCCACTCCTCAACTCTAAACAAAAAAATCTAGGATTAGTTAATCTAAGGGGTATAAATGTATATTTAATAAAAAAATTAAGTGCTATTCTGGTCATTTTAATTGTTAAGGTCTATATTTGTGATAATTTTTTTTAGGTCTATTCTAGCCATTATCTCTTAAGAATATGCATGTATATATTTAAAATTATAATCTTAGATACACTTTTTATCTATTTATTTTAATTAAATATATTAAATAAATTTGTAGAAAAATTTATAATTATCAAAAATTAAAATTAGACAATATTTATTAAATTTGTAAATATAAAAGAAATTAATAATTTTTCGATTAAATTTTAATAATTTTCAAAAAAAGGTATACATTTTTGAAAAGTTTTTAATAAATTGTATAATTTTAAATATATAATTAAAAGATATTTTCGAAATTTATAATTTCATATTTGAATATATTTATTTTAATGATGATTTATGAGTTATTACCATATTTAAAAATATTTCCAAAAATATAAATCGACATTAAATCTAATATATGAGTTGTTACCATATTTTATAAAGTTTTCCAAAAATATATATTAACATTAAATGCAATTATCCATGTCATATTTAATCATATGTCATGTCATCAATTCTAGTAGACATGTCATCATTTTTTTTGTGAAACTGATTGTAGAGAGGACATGTGGCAAAATCACTTCGCAAATAATATATAGGGGATTGTTACTGAATAAACCAATGAATCCAACCCCGGTTAGAAATTTTGTGCAACCGAATCAAATAAAACATTTTTTTCAAAAATCGTATTTTAATTATTCTAATAAAATCAATTTGTCAATAGTACAACATGTACTGCATGGTCTTTAAATCCACATAAATTTAATAATTTGACACCATTATTAATCACACTTTTGCTGACTAATGTATTTTAATTATAATTTATAGACATTTAATTATCCATATAAGTTTAGCTCTTAATCAAAATTTTCTTTTTTTTTTTAATTTTTAATATAAATTTACTGATAATTTTTACAAAGATAGCTACTTATAAATATATAATGCTCTAATTTTCCCTGAAATTTAAATGAATTATGTTACTTACAATTATACTTGTAAGGAATTTAACTAATACTTATGTTTATGGTATGTAAATTAATTCATTATTTTACTTTTGGGATCTTGCCAAAAAATAGTATCTTTAACATTAATATTATACATGTCATTATAAGATGGAAGTACTATCACCTTTTTACTAAATCATATTATTTTTCAAATAAATGTAATACCTAAGAAAATCTGAAAAAGAAAAAAAAAACATTTTTCTCATAATATATAGGTGTGTACGTGCTTAAATATAATAAAATGTAAGATGTTAGTCAAAAAAAAAAAATACTTATATGTTACCGAAGATAGGGAGAATTTCAGTTATACCAATTTGGTGGTACCACTTTTCATGTTTACCATCAACAAATGAACATTTTCAAAAATACACATTTTATTAAAGGATAAATGACTCTTATATCCTTATTCTTTATATATATACATAAAATAAATATTAAATAAAATATTAACCCTAAACCTTAAAACATCAATTCTAAACTCTAGGCTCTAAAAAGTAAACCCTAAACCCTAAAAATCAACCTTAAACCCTAAAATATCAATTTTAAACCTTAAACCCTAAACTCTAAACCCTAAAAAGTAAACCCTAAACCCTAAAAAACCAACACTAAACCCTAAACTATCAATCCTAAACCCAAAACCCAAAACCCTAAATTCTAATAGTATTTTGACTATTAAAATTTTAGTAGTAAAGCTGGTTAGTGTAAAGTTGAAAAATGGTATCTTGAAAGTGTTATTTTTGGCAATTTCCCCCGAAGATAACCATCCAAAACCGAACCGAACCAATTTAAACGAAACTGAAATTTTTTAAACAATCAGCTCCAAATTCTGTTCTAGTTGGGACAGTTTTCCCATAAACCAAATTTTGAACTTGATTGAATCAAAAGGGCATGACTGATACCGTAGGTTGTGCTTTGCAGTGCTGAAATAATGACGGCGCAAATTCCTCAGCGAGACGCTCTGAGTATTATTGTAAGTGTTGTTGTTAAGTGGTCGTAGCTCTAAGCTACTAATCATTGGATTACTTGGTCCTGTCTTAACTAGACAGACCTGGAGAAACTTAGATGTAGTCTTGTAGATGATCTCCTGGAAAGTGCCTTTTGTCCAGAAACTCATATCTATCGTTTCCCAAAAATTTGGACCTAGGTGGAGGTCGAACCTGGGGTACATGTTAAGACCATCGTAATTACCATACACGAATAGAGCTGTAATAAGGTAGCTCGTGCCTTCCGTTACATTCAAGGTATAGCAGTTTCTTTTTCCATCTGGGAAGTACCTAAGCGTCCAGTATATCTTACGGTATGTCGCCTCCACCGCCAGTTCCTTTTGGATTTTACCGGTTTTGCCAGTTTGCACAAAACCGTCGTCCGTTGAGTATGTTAATCCGGTTTTAGAATCGTTGAAAGGAGGCTCGTTAGGCGAAAGCCCGCAATCCAAACTGATGAACCCTATTAATGTATATATAACATGTATCCGAACAAGTACATAAGAACAATCTCTCTACAAAATATGTAATAAGGAAAACGTAGAAACGTCTATGTAAATACCTTTTTGGTCCTGAGCTTCAACGAGATGTAAAACGGAAAAAAAAGTGATGCATATAAACGCACATAACCGAAGTGCCCGAGGATGTTTCTCCATTATTAGTCTATGGTGCAAAGGAGATGGACATTTACAAAAGGAAAACACATAATAGCTTTTGAGATATCTCCGTAATAAGTAATAACGGAACTTGTTGAAAGCAAATAGGCACGATGTAGTTTTTGTAGGTCAACTTTTGAAATAAATAAATAAAAAAGAGTCAGCTGTCTGCAACGAAAATAAAATTAAACTGATAACTGATAAGTATGAAGACATTCTATAAACATTTTAAACTCAACGTTCCAATCCCCTTGATCCCCCGTGCCGTATAGTTGACGCAAATGTTAGGGTTTTAACGTTGTATTCGTACCGTACGTATGGACTATTTAAGTAGAATATAAGCAAATTCTTGGTTTGGTTCTTGTATCCATCTCAGTATTGGTTCGTCCTTTTAGTTTCCTTTTTCTTGTCTTTTTGGATTATATATACACGGTTTTCGCTCTGTTTGATACTTTAGTTTTTACTGGAATTTGATTTTCTGATAACAATTCTCCATGCTTAACAACTTATCTTGAAAGTTTTTTATAGTTGTAGTTGTTGATTTTCGAAAAAGTAATTAAATCTCAATTCAGATTTCATTTTTGTTTGATTAGCGGTTAAACTACTGATGGGTTATTCAACAACGTGAAATAGTGATATTACACAATTTTAAAGGATGCAAAGATTATGAAGATCGAAATGGTCCCTAATCCTCAAAATTACAACTTAAATATATGTATAAAAAAATAATGTACCAACTGCCTTCGCTGGTCCAGGGAGGAGATGTGCATGCAACAACAAACAAAACCTTTCAAAAGGTCGTTGATTTTGACCTTTAGGTTTAGTTTCATTGGATGATTATTTGTGTTGTCTTTGTTTATGTTTCTTTCTAATTAACTATGTTATCATCCGACTATAGCTCAATAGGTGAAACATAATGGGGAGAATTTCAGTTATACTATTTTGGTGGTATCACTTTTCATGTTTATCATCAACAAAGAAACATTTTCAAAAATACACATTTTATTAAGAGTGATTTAGTGAATTACCCATATTTGAAGCTTAAATTAGCAAAATACCATTGATTGGACATAAAGGACACTGACATAACCATTTGGCAAGGAAATGCCGAGAATGCCATTTCTCTTTCCTCTCATTAATACGAAGCGTAAAAACATTTGTTAACATATAACACTTCTGTTAACGTCTAAAATATATGTTAACAGCCAACACATTTATTACCGCGAAGCGTAAAAATAATTGTTAACAGTTAACACTTCTGTTAGCGTCTACAATATTTGTTAACAGCGAACACATTTATTAACGCGAAGCGTAAAAATAATTGTTAACAACTAACACTTCTGTTAACATCTATAATATTTGTTAACCGCTAACACGACGTCGAATCTAAAACCCAGAAAAATGATATCATCAAAAAATTGAGGATTCAAAGCCACTTATGAAAAAAATAATGAAATTTAAAATTTAATTGTATATAGAATGATAGAGATTTGTAAAATAATTAGAGATTGGAGAGAGAAAAAAAAGGTCAAAAAATTGAGGATTCAAAGCCACTTATGAAAAAATAATGAAATTTAAAATTTAATTGTATATAGAATGATAGAGATTTGTAAAATAATTAGGGATTGAAGAGAAAAAAAAAGGAGGAGATGTCAAAGAGAGGAGAGAGAGTGTAGAGAAGGGTAAAATGGTCCAAAGGAAAGTGATTGTCACATCATGGGCAAGTCTCTAATTATAAGTGCCAAATAGGGCACTTTAGCCAATTATCTCTTTTTATTAAAGGATAAAAGACTCTTAGAGCACCCCCATTGAAGGTTCAATGGGGGGTTTCACACAAAAACCAAGAAAAAAAAATATAATAAAAGTTGTGAACATGTGGCTTTGGGGTTCACTCTTGTGAACCTGTATCACCACTGTTCCGCGGGTCCCACGACACGTGGCGGCCCGCAATTGGCCAATTTTTTTTTTTTTTTAAATTACAAACGAAAAAAATAAAGAAAAAGTTATGAACTCCCCATCCCAAGGTTCACTGATGGGGGTGCTCTTATATCCTTGTTTTTTATATATATACATCAAATAAATATTAAATAACAGATTAACCCTAAACCCTAAAACATCACTTCTAAACTCTAGACCCTAAAAAGTAAACCCTAAACCCTAAAAATCAACCCTAAACTCTAAAATATCAATTCTAAACCTTAAACCCTAAACTCTAAACCCTAAAAAGTAAACCCTAAACCCTAAAAAATCAACACTAAACCCTAAACTATCAATCCTAAACCCAAAACCCTAAACCCTAAATTTTAATAGTATTTTGACTATTAAAATTTTAGTGGTAAAGTTGGTTAGTGTAAAGTTGAAAAGTGGTATCTTGAAAGTGTTATTTCTGGCAATTTCCCAACATAATGTTAACTTGTCAAGTGTCAACATTCACCATTTATTTATGGGATTTTTAGTAATAAAATTCCTCAACTAAAGATGGATCGTAAAAAAAACCTTCAAATAAATATTTAGTGAAATAAATTCTCAATTTTAGTTCCGTTAATGTTTGTCACCCTCTATCACATAATTTTAGACGGATGATGACATACGTTAACAGAACTAAAGTTGATGGTTTATTTTATTAAATCTTTAGTTGAGAGATTTTTTACATCTCATCTTTAGTTGAAGGATTTTATTACTGAATGCGATTAAATATTTTAAAATATTTATTATCATTTATCTATTATTTAAGAATCTTACAATTGATTTATAAACATTTACAATAATTTATACTTTTTATATATTACTTTATCAATTTTTAACCTATTTATAAAGCTTAATAAATATTTTTATATTTTTATAAACTATTAATAAGGTTGAACGATGATTTTTATAAGTTTTTGTCTGCTATTTCTTAGGATAAAATAATACATGTTTTTTTTTATATTACGAAGTAAATCGATAAAGCTTTATAAAGAAGGAAACACATAAAATTTTCTTATATTAATACTGTCAAATATCAAATAATTAAGATTTCTAAGTTATATAAAGTTGTAGGTAGTCTTGAGGATATTTAATTAATTTAGAAATTCAACATTGTTACTTACAATATGACAATGGTTTTTTTCTCTTCTTTACAAAATTTCAATTTGATTCATACTTTTTTTTTATTTCAGAAGAAATAATGTAGAATTATTTTTCTTCTTTTTGATTTCTGAACCAATATGTTATACTCTTACTATATTAATCAATAAGTTTTTCTTGTTTTATTTATGAGAATTTGCACTGTATATACATACATAACTTGGAAATTTACGTGGATGGATATTCCCACTTACTAGATGTCGTTTTTTTAATGGCCATATCACCCCTATACATCCTATATTGTAACTAAGTATAAATCTCTTTGGTATCTCCGTGGTGCCATTTTCATTGATCTCACTCTCTTCTTTTTCTCTGCACTAATAATAATCACATCTTTAATTTTATAAAATCATCATAAACCTTAACAATAATTATAAAATTATTAAATGAGAAAATTTCATAAATAGGTTATAAAATTGATAAAGTAATATATTAAAAGTATAAATTATTTTAAATATTTATAAATCAATTGTAAGATTCTAAATAATGAATAAATGATAATATAGATTTTAAAATATTTAATCGTTTTTAGTAATAAAATCTCTCTACTAAAGATGAATTGTTAAAAAAACTCTTAACTAAAGATTTAATGAAATAAACCTTCACTTTTAGTTATGTTAACATATGTCACTCTCCGTCTAAAATTTAGTGATGGAAGATGACAAATATTAACGGAACTAAAATTGAGGGTTTATTTTATTAATTTTTTAGTTGAAAGTTTATTTATGATCCATCTTTAGTTGAGGAGTTTTATTACTAAAAACTCTTTATTTATTTGTTTGGTTAAGAACATGGCGTTTATGCGGATGATGTTCACGAACACAAACTTCGGATGAAAGTGCAATCTACAATCTTTCTCACGATTCATATATAGCAGAAAATATAATACTCTTTTTTTTTTTTCCTTTTTGAATACCAAAAGGTTAATGTATGAGTCAAACCAGTTATACGGACCGGAAACTTATGACACAAACACCATGGTTCTTTTTGGTAGACAGGCCTGTCTTTATATAAGGCAAATGAAGCATTGGCTTCAGGCTACATAATATAAAAACAAAACATTGGTCACATTTTTGGACATTATATCTAAGCAAGAGTTGTTAGACCCTTTTGGTCTCTAATTCAATCGATACCACAACCAATTATATATATCTTTCATAGGTAATTTTAAATAAAATGCCACATTATTTTGTCAGACTTTATGTAACATTTCGAGTTGTGATATATGAAAAAGCTTAAAAATATTGATTTGGTTATCTATGTCATCAAAGTGACTTACCTTTTTCGTCACAGATCCGTTTAGAACTCCACAGTTAAGCGTATTTTGGTTGGAGTAGTGAAAAGATGGGTGACCTATCGGGAAATGATTCGTGATACCGTGCAAGTGAGGCCAACGCACAGGAAAATATCGGATTGTGATTGCAGAGTCAGTAAACAATGATTTCGAGCTTTGGAAAAAACTAACAGACCGACCGTTGGAACGGGATGGGCTCGCATGCCAAGAGAGCGAACATGGATGGTCCATTAGCCGTGGACAGCCGTAGCGTTACAAGTGGTATCAGAGCTGGTTAACCATCTCAGTTCTGACCTGAGAGGCGTCTTGAGACCTGTCGTGGGGCGCAACGAGGACGTTGCGTTCTTTGAGAGGGGGTGAATTGTAACATTCTGAGTTGTGATATATGGAAAGGCTTAAGAGGATTAATTTAGTTACCTATATCACCAAAGTTTACTTACCTTTTCCGTCACACATTCGTTTAGAACTCCAGGGTCAAGCGTGCTTTAACTAGAGTAGTGAAAGGATGGGTGACCTAACATGAAGTGATCGCGATACTGTGCAAGTGAGCCAAAGCACGGGAAAATATTGGGTTGTGATTGCAGGGTCAGTAAATAATGATTTCGAGCTTTGGAAAAAATTAACGGACCGACCGTTGGAACGTGATGGGCTCACATGCCGAGAGAGCGGACGTGGATGGTTCTTTAGCTGTGGACTGTCGGGACGTTACACTTTAAGCCTTATAACTCTTTGGGACGACACTGCTGGTTGAGTTAACGACCTCTAGTCATAATTAACAATTTTCTTTTGACATGGGACAATTATAGGCCTAGACGTCTGTATGTATGTGTGACTCTGCATTCATGCCTGGTTCCTTCAAGTAAAGATCCCAAACTCACGGATATGCGGATATTAGATAAACTGTTGGCGGGTTTTGATTTGTTTGGTGATAGTTCAGAATCTAACATGGTATCAGAGTCCATACATAAATACCTAAAACCCCTAATTAATATTGACCCTTCCTGACCGGGTACAAAGGCCGTATTTAACCCTTCCAACCGGGTATAAGGTTGTAATTAATTCGCTCAATCGAGTATAAATGTCTTAAAAAGTTCTAATATTTCTAGTTGATAAAAACTATCATATGGAAGAAAGATATTAATGATAATATATCCCACATCGAAAATTCAATAAGACTTTAAATAATATATAAAGGTTTAGGATCAATCCACTAATCGTCAATTAGTTTTTAAGTTGGAAATCCATAACAAATCTGAATCTAACAGTCCGGGTGGTATGAATATGGCATGTGGGAGATCATGTTCGTGTGACTCGGTCTCTTTACACAACAGAGCCACATGTTTTTAATTTGTCTCGTGTCTAACTTAAACTTCATCTTCTCCAAAACATAATCAAAATTTGGGACTATCTTTAACGAAATATATGTTTCTGATCCCAATCATCTGACACAAAAATTGAGAGAAGAAGCATGTTTGGTCTGTATGTTTCTGTTTTCTTGTTTAACTGACCGGGAAGGAAGGTTTCAGCAGAAAACCAAATCGAATTCGGTCAGAACGTGCCAGTTTCCCGGTTTAGACGGACCGGAAAGGAATATTTTAGCAGAAAAAACAAAGCGTGTTCGGTTAGAACATGCCTATTCTCCGGTTTATATGAACCGGAAATTTAGCAGAATTCCAAAGCGAGTTCAGTCATAAAGTGCCTATTTCCCGGTTTAGACGGACCGAAAATGAACATTTTAGCTAGGCATGTTCAATCTGGTGTTCGATCCGGTTTCGGTTCAGTTTTTTTTTTTTGGTTTTCTTTTATTTGGTTTATAAAAATTAGCTACCATATTGGAACCATATTTAATTTGGTTTGGTTTGGTATTTATACTACCGGTTTTCGGTTTATTCGTTTTTATACCAAATAACATTATTATTTGATTTGGTTTCATATTATATGAATTTAAAAAAAAAAACATATTCTCAAAACCATCATTTATTAAAATATTCCTAGGTGTTCATAAATATAAAAATGTGAAATTAACAACAAACAAAACGACAAACGATTCAGTTTTGTACAGCTTTTCTTATTTTCTCTTTGTTCTTCCAAATAAATTACATGGTACAATCTAATTTCAAAATTTCTTACAACATGCAAAATCAAATCAAATTTAGATAATAGTTGAAGAAAATAATATAAAATTATTAAGATATATCTTCACAAGGAATAAAAAAGTAAAAAAAAAAAGACTATTCCAAGAGAATAAATGGTTATATAATGTATATATTTATATATTTTTTCTTTGATCGGTTTTTTTTGGTTTATTCGGTTTAATCGGTTATAAACCTAACAATATCCAAATCCTACGGTTTCTATAAAATCATATCCATTCGGTGGTTCATATGGTATATACCAAATCCAAACCATATTGTCTATTTCAATTTGGTTCGGTACTGTTTGGTATTACCATATTGAACGGCCCTAGTTTTAGCAAAAAAAAAACAAAGCGTGTTCGGTCGGAATGTGCACCATTTGTGCCACGCGTTGAAGCGCGTGAAGGTCAACTTCTCGTGGTTTCTCAAAGTTAACGTGTGGTACAAGTAAGAATATAGGGATTCACGTGGGCTTGAGCCCACTAGATTCTTGTTCGAATGCTCTTTCTCTTGGGACTGCTCCGACGACATTACATACCATTTGTTCTTTAGTGTTGTGCGCACCCTTGGCTTACATGCAATGCAGAAATATAATTTAAGTTATAGCCATTTTCCTCTCGAGACTTCTCGATCGACATCATTATCTGTTTTGTTTACTAACAGTAGTTCGCGTATTTGCTACTAATCCTTATTGCAATATAAATCATTCAATCAATAAAGAAAAGCCGTTACAAATACAAACTTCTTTAAAAATAACAAACTCATTCAACAGAAAAAATATAAGATGATTTTTGCAGTCTAGCGAGCATCAGGGGTACTTCCAATATCAAAGTTCATGCTTACTTCTACAGAATTCTGCGGGTTCATGTTTTGACTCGTTCCTCCCCTTGAGTGTTCATATGCCAAGCACTCGTTTAATTCAATAACAACTTGAGACATGGTTGGTCTTCTCGCTGAACTAGGATTTAGACACGACATTGCTAGTTCAACTGCCCTCCATACAGAACCAGAGTCGTAATCTCCATAAAGTTTTGGATCCACAATGGTTTTGATGTCTCCTTTTGTAAGCATTAACCCAACCCATTCTGCTATATGTGATTTCTCACGACTTTGATTGATGACAGGTTGATTTGTGATGATCTCTAGTAGTACAATTCCGAAGCTATAAACATCACTTTTTTCATTCAACCAATTGGTTCGATAATATCTGCAAAAAAAAATTTATGCCATTAGAAAAGATAAACATGCATAATTCAGTAATCAATTACGTCACAATACTTACTCTGGATCAAGGTATCCAGGAGTTCCAGCAACTACTGTTGACACATGCGTTTCTCCTTCAATCGGAAAAGATCTCGAAAGCCCAAAATCAGCTAACTTGGCCTGAAAATGTTCATTCAACAATATATTTGTGGTTTTGACATCCCTATGAACCATTGGTGGTTTGCATCCATTATGCAAGTATTCCAAACCTATCCAGCAAGTTTCATTTTCAGCAAGGTTTATATTCATAGAAGAAAACAATAAGTTATGTAGAGAAGCTTATATCAAACCTTGTGCAGATTCGACGACTATTTTCAGTCTAGTTTCCCAGTTCAAGATAGATTCACCTCGTTTTCCTACATTCGAACCAATGTATGAATATATGAAAACATCATAAACAAATATTGTATTTGTAGCAATTCATACTTACTACTTACCTGACATATGTTCTTTCAAGTCTCTGTTAGCCATGTATTCATATATAAGAGCCAGATTTTCTCCTTCATCGCAATATCCAACAAGGCCAACCAAATTTTTGTGGTGAACTCTAAGAAGAAGTTCCACCTAGAAGAGTAGCACAACCATAAAATCAAAAATTGACATGCCGTTGTTAATGACATGTTTTCTACAACTTTTGAGTTAATATTTGTTTCTAAAAGTTACCTCTGCTTTAAATTCTTTATACCCTTGAGAAGAAGAGTGTGAAAGCATTTTAACGGCTACTTGTTCCGTACCATTTACAATCCCATGATAGACCATTCCAAATCCTCCTTTACCAAGGACTCTTTCAAAGTTATTTGTCATGGTTACAACCTCTTGGTAAGTAAATCTTCTGTTTTTAGTCATTATTGATTCTGATGATCCAGTTGGTATAGGATCTGATGCTTGTGTATTATATGATGATGGACCTAGTGTAACAATACATCAGTCTCATTAGACTTTGCACATATGTATTGTGAATATATTGCAATGTTTATGTTAATTTAAAAAGGAGATTTTTTTATACCTTGACTGTTTGATGTCTTTTTCCTTTTGAATACAAAGAAGAAAGCCAATGCAATTCCAAGAACAACCACGACCACGACCACGGCCGATACAACAACCGGTACTACAACATTCTTTTTCTTGGAACCATCGGTTTTGTTTACACATGGTTTACCCTCACAAGTAAGATCCGGATTTCCATCATGGCTGTGAGTTAATTATCAATGGTGTTTAAAATAACAAAACAAATCACATGGTTTAATAAACTCAAGAAGAAAATATGATATATAATAAAACATTACATAATTAACTTTAGTCCTTTCTTCTGTAGAAGGGCTTGAGGAACAGCGCCGTTAAGATTGTTCCCACTTAAATTTCTGTTAAGATAGAAACAGAGTTATGAACATGAACAATCTTGTAATGGAGTAAACTGATGGATTGTATTGTCCCACAAGCGACTCACATGACCAAGAGTGATTTAATTTCCGCAAGAAACTCCGGTACTTCGCCCGTCAAATTGTTATTTGACAAGTCTCTGATTAAACATTTTAAGTATAAAATGAGTTACTTGTTCCAAAAAAGGTATAAAATGAGTTATAACAAAGATATAATTAAGGGGAACAAGTTGTTTTACTATACATAGTACCGAAGTTTGAAAAACTTACAATTCGTGTAGGTGGATTAGATTCTGAATGGCAGGAGCGATGGTCCCCGTTAATTGACTTGATGATAAGTTCCTAAGACATATTTATGAACACATTTTACGTAAATGACAAAAAAGTTGTGAGATAACCAAGACAATATATAGTTTAAAGGCAGATTTTACAAAGAAGTGACTATAGGTGGCACTGAAGTTTCTGAGTTGTTGCAGTTTAAACCATTCCACAAGAACTCTTTAGGAACACATGGATCTCCTTGCCAGCTTATCTTACTCAGTCCATAAGTATTTTGGATACTCTTGATAGCAAGAACTATTATGATTTTTTTTTTTGTTATATCAATAATCAATCCATGCATTAAAATGGAAGGAGCCAAATATAGGAAAAGTTATATTGACATACCATCATCTTGGTTTGTCTCCAATTGCGGAAATTCGATCACGGTGTAAATTTCAAAAGCGTTCATGAGAGGAGGAAGAGTAGAATTTGACGTCCTTAATAACTCTACTAGGCATATTCCTTCTTCACATTCTTGCGGTTTGGAGAAGTATATAGTTTGTATGGCTAACTTTGTTGGACTAAAGCGCTCATTTGTAGTAATACCATTCACCAATACATTGAATTCTCGGGTTTCGTTGGCCTGTAAAGTTTTAATCTCGGCAAAGTGCATGTAGATATAAAATTGGGTCGTGGAAGGCGACAGTGACCAGGTGAAATTCCATGGCGCAAAAGCACTTATAGGCGTTGAGGCTGACGCCATCACAACTTGTGGTGGATTATAATAATTAGAAGTGTCTACCTTGAGATCGGTAGTTAATCCTGTCCATTCTTTCTCATCAAAAAATGGGAACCATAAACGATCATTAACATCATTGGGGTACCTAACCAAATTATTGTAGTCATGTGTTAGAGACTACAAATTGGGATGAAAAAGAAAACCGAATCAAACAAACACTTTTTGTACCGAAATAAACCGAAAGAATCTAAACCGAATTCAATTTTGTGGAACCGAACCCAATAAAGAAAAGTTTTTCAAATTAAAATTTTAAATGTGTATATAATCTTAAATATAATAAAATATATGAAATTAATTAACAGTTATTTATTTGTACTTTTGGTTAAAATATAACTATCCAATACCAAACCAAACCCGAACCATATATAATCAAATTCGGTTTTAGTTAGGACCTTTTCCATAACCCAAAAAAAACCTTGAAGCTAATTGCAAACCAAAAATTTGAGTGAATGACATGATTGATACCTTACGGTCTGGCTTGCAGTGCTGAAATAATTCCGGAATAAATACCGCAAGGAGCCGCTCTCAGTATTGTAAGTATTGTTGTTAAGTGGTCGTAGCTCTAAGCTACTAATCATAGGATTACTTGTTCCTGTCTTAACAAGACAGACCTGGAGAGACTGAGATGTGGTCTTGTGGATGATCTCCTGGTAGGTGCCATTTGTCCATCCAGTCATATCGATCGTTTCCCAAAGATTTGGACCAAGGTAGAGGTCAAAACTTGGGTAGCTGTTAAGACTATCGTAATTACCGTACACGAATAAAGCTCTTACAAGATAGTTTGTATCTTGCGTGACGTTGAAGGTATAGCAGTTTCTGATTCCATCTGGGAAGTACCTAAGCTTCCAGTATGGTTCACGTATAAACGGCTCGAACTCCTTTTGGATTTTTCCGGTTTTACCAGTTTGCACAAAATCGTCGTCTGCTGAGTATGTTAATCCGGTTTTAGGATCGTTGTAAGGAGGCTCGTTAGGCGATAGCCCGCAAGCCAAGCTGAAGAACCCTAGTAACACATATAAGACACATGTGTTAAAAAACATGTAGTAAGGAAACGTAGAAGTGTGCATATAAATACCTTTTTGGTCCTGAGCTTCAACGAGATGTAAAAGGGAAGAAAAGGTGACGCATATCAACGCACATAACCGAATGACATGAGGATGTTTCTCCATTATTCTTCGTGCAAAGGAGATAGAGATTCACAAAAAGAACACACAAAAAAGCTTTAGAGATATCCCCGCAATAATGGAAATTGTTGGAAGCAAATAAGCACGATGTGGTGTATGTAGGTCAACTTACGAAATAAATAAATAAAAGGAGTCAGTGTCTGCCACAAAAATAAAAATTAAACTAAAGTGTATGACGACATTCTATTAAAAAAAAATTTGTATCGTTTTGTGTTTTTTTTTTCCCCAAAATGTAAGCATATGAAATCTCAATTCGGATTTCATTTTGTTTTATTAGCATTTTTTGTAACAATTGTTTGATTAGACTGAATTGCTTATGCTACAACGTGGAAGAGACACATTACACAAGTTTAAAAGACGCAAAGATCAGGAAGATCGGAATGGTCCCAGAGCCCCAAAGTTATGACAAACATAGATTTAAAAAGCAAATGTAGCAACCGGCTTCGCTGGTCCAGAGAGGAGACGTGCATGCATTATGTTTCAAATGGTATTTGATTTTGACCTTTGTGTTTAGTTTCATTCGATGATTATTTGTGTTGTCTTTGTTTATGTTTCTTTCTAATTAACTATATTTTATTGGACTAACTAGAGTTGAACAGTTGAAACATAAATTCAAGTGTCAAGTTGTCAACATTCATCATTTGTTAACTTTCAATCTATAAAACATTTCTAGATTGACTTGGCCAATACACATAATCAATCGGTTACACATTTCTCGAAATCTGAATCCATATTTTGGGTCAAGAATGGGCCTAAAGTAGAGAGGCCCATACTTACCATCTGTCTCATCTCCCTTACTTTCATTGACTCTTCTCCACAGCTACTACGACCGAGATCAGTGACGCTACTGAACCTTCGTTAAAAGAGAAATGGTCCCAAGAAAGTCACAGATCTCATATTCTAGAGCTGTTAGACCATCTCCAAAAGAGGATCTATGACACTTCTAACTCTTGTATCTAAGTGTTTATATCGAGGAATTTAAATTAAAAAGACATAAATTAGTTAGATATATTTCTATAATTCGTATTTTTGAACCACTTTCAAGTGACATGTCAGATTTTGATAGGCAATATTTTTTAAAAAAAATTAAACCTAATTATATTCTCTCTCTTTCATGATAGAACCTCTAATTGTATTTAGAATTGGATGGCTTAAAAGTAAACAAGTTTCTAAAAATTTTGATTTGATTATTTTTAATTAAAAAATAGATTTAGATCTTTAAGACTATATCCATTATTGGAGATGGTCTTAATAGATATCTCTTCTTTCTTTTGTGACTATGATAATTATCAGAGACTTAAGCTTGATTTCCAAGTGGATGCATGACCAACTTGAGTATCAGAAATCAGCTTGAATTAATGCAATATACACACATGGAAATACTGATAAAAGACACGACTAGTTAGTACTCTAGCAACATATTTTTGCAAGCATGAAAAAAGTTTTGGACTTCGGATTTAGAGCAACTGCTGTACATATGGGGTATAGACATATTTGGGTGTAGGACCCCATTTTTCTTTATTGAAGGCACTTCTAACTACAATGCACCAGAAACTAAACAACATAAAGGAGAACTCCAACACAGACTCATCCTTCTTTTATTGTCCCTTGGGACTAAAGCTTTGAGATCTTGTACAGAACTTGACTTCAACTTAGAGCTCCTCGCTGAAGGTCGACTTGGATGATTTTTGTTTCAGGCCCGGTTTGAGGAATTCGGTGAACCATTTTGCAGATTCTTTCTCTATACGAGTCAAGTTGTTCTGGAAGTCTATGTAGTAGAGACCAAACCTAGCTGTGTACCCGTCTTGCCACTCAAAGTTGTCCATTAACGACCACACGAAATAAGATGTAACATTTACCTTGTCTTCACTGCAAGATACAACAAGAATCAAATATGTAAATGGGAAAAGAACATGTATAATCAATTAAACATCACCACAAATGATTTAATTGATCTCACCATATAGCCTGATGCAGGGCCAAAAGATGCCTCTGGTGATAATATTTCCTGTTGTGGTCATTGAGAGCAACACTATGATCTGTATCCTTATCGCCAAGGTCCTCCCCGTAACCTATATAACAGATTGCGAAAATTCAACAAACGTAATAAAAATATACTATGATAAAAAAATATTGACAAACCATTCTCAGTAATTATGATCTCAGGGTTGCCATATCTGTCTTTTACGTATTTCACAAGCTTCCTCAAACCCGCTGCGTATACAGCCATCTTAGCAGTACTGGGCTACAAAAATGTAGAAAAAAGGAAGTAATTAAAACATAGTTTATATCATTTAACTAAGGTTATTAAGAAGGAATGTGTGTACCTGGCTACCAATCTTAACGGATCCGTCAACAGTCTTGGCTAAACATGTACAAAAGTAAACAAAAAGTTAATTTATTGAATGAACATTAGACGTGATTAATGAGAATATAGTACTATTTTTACATGCATAGATTTTTCACAAAATAACCATACGTACATACATAGGTTTTAGTCAATTAATAAAACATCCCTGTTGTTCCAACTACATTCACTAACACGTTGATATATAGTATGTAGCATAAGATAGCAATCGATCTATTTATAATACTTGAACATATATAAATGAATCTTACGTTCAAACTCCACTAGAGAATCTGTAGCCCAAGATGGATGGCGATGATCAACTTTTTCGTTTGCCTTTGCATAGAAGGAACTGTAATAGTTTATTCCCACGAAGTCAGCTGATCCTTTCAGTTTTGCCTTTTGGGCTTTGGTAAATTTGGGCAATCGAGCTCCGACCGCATCTTTCATACTTTGAGGATAATCTCCGTATGTCGTAGGATCCAAGTGCCTGAAGAGCATCATACGTAAATTTGAATATGTATAGATGCATCTAGAATAACAAAAAATAGGAACTGATCTGATGTTATTTTTTACCAGCCCATGATGAAGTCAAGTACACGGTCTACGGTACGTTGACCTCCCTCCACATCTTCTGGTTCAAACCAAGCCGGGCTATGAGCAATCCCGATTTTACCACCTTTGCACTTTTCAGAAATAAACCAAAATAAATGAGAAGAAAAAAAAGAATGCAACCAATTTTCTCTTTTTTTTTTTTTTTTTTTTATGTTTTGTTCTCTTTTACCTTTTCGCACTTTCTGAAAGCGTCAACGGCTTCAGCGTGACTAACTAATAAATTGTGACTAACGACATAAGCCTCGAATCCTGACCGTCCATCCTGGCAAAGAGGTCCAAAGTCTTTGATGTAAGGAGAACAACGTCCTGGTGCTTTCTTCCCAGTGTCGTAGCCTGAACGACTAAAGACCCATGGCTCGTTGAACGTTATCCAGTTTTTCACTTTGTCCCCATATTCGTGGAACGTGAAGTTTGCGTACTCCACAAAATCCGGTCTGCATACATTTTTAAGAGAAGAGTATACGTAACTGATGCTGTTTGCGTTACATTAGAGAAACGTAAATATGATTGAGACAAGTACAAAAGCTTACACTACACGATCGCTCAAAAAGCCACCGTATTCATCTTCCAAATCGGCGGGCATGTCCCAGTGGAAAACCGTTACTAGTGGTGTTAAGTCTGAAATAACAATGACGAATTAGCTTTTTTCTGTTGTACTATACGTTGATCAGATAAATCTAAAATGAAAAAGGTTGTGAGAACTTATGTGACCATTTTTAAGGAGCTCATCTATAAGGTCGTGGTAAAATTGAACTCCTTCTTTGCTTATTCCTTTCTCCATCCTCCCATCTGTTATGTCAATCAATTTCCAGCTGTTATTACAACTAATTTGGAATTTGTAAAAAAAACTCAGAATTTGTTACGCCCTATTTCTATTTATCAAAAAGTCATAAAATGTTAACTTACGGGGAAATATTCTTGGCCATGCAATGGACAGTCTAAAACCATCAGTGTTGAGCTTTTTCATCAACTTGATATCCTCCTGTTGAATTCCAGGGTTACTAACATAATTAAGTTTACTAAGTAGATAATTTATATCTGGAGAGAGAGGCAGGAAAGAGGGAAATTACTCTGAAACGATGGTAGAAATCGACGGCCACATCAGCATTATGATTATTAACTCTATCTGCAGTTTCATATTAAGAAATGATATATGAGTCAGGCTAAAAACTTACGCACTAATAAGTAGGCATATATATGCCTCGTGTTTCTCTAGCAAGATAAATGATATATATATATATGCATGTTTCGTGGTACAAATAAATGGTAAAAGAGAGAGAGACATACGAGGATATTTTTTTGTATAGATATCCCACAGGCTTGGTCCTCTGCAACCTTCATTTACTGCACCTTCAACCTATTTTCAGCACATATAGATACATTTCATCTTCAGTAATTAAATGTGTTTCAGAAAAAGTGATTATATCTAGGGCTATATATGATATCTTTGTTACTGTAATAAAGTGAAACCTTTATAAATTAATAATATTGGGACTACACCAAAATTTTAATTTTTTATTAATTTAGATATTAATTTATCGATATACTAATCAAACTAAAAACTCAATTTGAGACTATAAAATTATATTATTTTATACAGATATTTAGTATATATTAATTTATCAAAATATTAATTTATAGAGGTTCTATTGTATATATATTTGTTTTTTGTAAATTAACTTATGTTACAACTTTATATCACCTTCACCAAATACACGTCTAAAAGGTTAAAAGATAAAATTTTATTTTACCTATAATCATATAAGAAAAGAAATAGCTGAATTCACAAGGAGAGTTAGTCGAGCTCTCGTGGTCTTTACAAAATAAATTTATATTCGGTGTGACTGGTTAGGAAGCTTTAAATTTTACATGCAGTTTTTAAAATCAACCATTCATACTTTATATTGATTTTTAAATCTTCAGTAAAAAAATTAATAGATATAAACAGCCTTATTTTCTAAAGTCCATCTAAAAATCTTTTTAGCTGTAGAAAATTTATAATATATTTCTATATATAGCAATACATTTTAAGAACATCATCTAAAGCTAAATAAATTTTCAAGACTAAATTTTACAATAAATTTTCTACAATAATTGGTTGACCGAGGCACTGGCGGAAGCAGCTTATTAGGAAGGGTGTCAATTAACCCATATGAAATTTGAAAAATCTACTTAAGTTTTTATCATTTGCTTAACATCGACCCCGGTCAAATAATATTTTTGACCTTCATCCCCTTTTAATTCAAATATAGTCCACCAATATTTATGCAGTTTTCTATAAAAAAAATATTTTGACCCCTATGAATAATCATCTTACCTCCGCCACTGGCCCGAGGTAAATACCTTTTCCAATGCAGTAAATTGAGTGTTGTTTTATTATTAATTTTAATTCACGGGATACTTTCAATAACTTCAAAAAAGTAAATTCTCAAAAATAATTGTATCCTCCTGACTTGGAGGAAGCTTCTCTCTCTATATAATACCTGATAAGATGCGGTTGCTGTACCAAATATGAAGCCCTCCGGGAAACTTGCACGACTTAGGGTTTCAGTCTTAGGGCAGACAGGTCCTTCTTCTGCCCTTGTAAGAGAGTCGATTAGAGTTACGAGCAAAAGTAACCCTAAGAGAACAAACTTCATTGTTGATATTCTTTGTACAAGCTCACTAGTTTGTTTCTTGATAAACGTTTAAAACAGTGGAAGACTATGGTTAATGAAATCGATAAGTAGAAGGGGACGATCTTCGTTTTTATAGCACATATGTATAAGTAGCAACGATCGAGCGATGAAATCCATGGCCGAAAATTATATCTGTAGGCCGCCAAGTGTCTTAACCACACTGTTACATGCACAATGAGATTTTTAAGTCCAAGTGTCTCGTTCTCACTTTCACTGTTGCATGCACATTGATCATCTGTCTGTTGTCGTCTTCTTGTTCTCTGGCGTAAGATTCGTAGGTGTATGTCGAATACTTCTTACATCTGGATGTTTGGGTTAAGTGTATGATTCTTTAGAAGCACATGTGGATTCCATTGTCTTAATTTCACTGTTACATGCACATTGAGGTTCTGAAGGCGTAATATGTTTTCTTCTTGTTCTCTGGCGTAAGATTTGTACGACTATTTCTTACATCTGGCCTGGTAGGGTTAAGTGTATGATTCTTTAGAAGTACATGTGTATATTAAGGCCAAGTGTTCGACTCTGAAGGGTCATAAGTGGATAGTGCATAATTTCAACAAGTGGAACAATCGTCATACAGAGTACCGTGTGATCTTTAGGACCACAAGTTTGGTTTTGAACATATCACCTATCTGAATGTGCATCTATGTGTATATAAAACGCACTTGCATTCATCTTCATCAGTACCACACCAGCTCTCTCATCTGTTTCTATTATCTATCAAAAAAGTAAAGTAAAAACAAAGGTATATATTTCTCTCTCTCCAAATGCTAGTAAATGTCCATGTTGGTTTAATTTCTAACTATTATGAAAACCATATAATTCTATCTGATATGAAAAAAAGCACGTGAGGTCTTTTTCAATAATGAAAAGATAACATGTGGTATTTAATGGTTAGATATAACAATGGCGGCCGCAACAATGTCTTGGGACGACGGGACGCACATGAGGGTGAAGAGAGTTCAGGTTACATATGAAGATGTTATCAAGTCCATAGAGGCCGAGTATGACGATGACCAAAATCCTAAGCGTCATGGCACTCCTGGCAAGAAATCTGACGGCGTTAGTGCTCACCATCTTCACCACAAAATAATAAACTATATATTCTCACGTTTTAGTGTACTTTTGATAAATTGTAATATTTTAAATGTTTGTAGGTGAGCTTGAGCCCTGATGAGTACATAACAGATGTTACTGGCTACTACAAAACTATGGGGAATGAAGATGCTATAGCAGCGTTGGCTTTTAAAACCAACAAAACCCAATATGGTCCTTACGGAAACAAAACCCAGAACCAATTCTCCATCCATGCACCCAAAGATAACCAGATCGCTGGTTTTCAAGGAATTAGCAGCAATGTTCTCAACTCCATTGACGTCCACTTTGCTCCCTTACCGTCTTCTTCCCCTTCTGATTCCTCATCCCAATCGTCGGCTTTGAGTCAAGCAAACAAAGTAGATGCTCAAGGTGGGAAAGGAGGACAATCATGGGACGATGGTGCTCATGAACATGTAAGAAGAGTGTACGTTGGACAAGGCGACTCTAGTGTCGCCTATGTCAAATTCGAGTACGAGAAGAGCGGTAACAAGGAAACACGTGAACACGGAAAGAAGACCTTGCTCGGAGCAGAAGTGGTTTGTGTTTGTTTTATTTGTCATAACTAGGAAGTTCGAATCCATTTAAACTATTTTTGTTATGAGCTGTATGTTCAAAAAAAAAATAACCTATTTCATATCTTTGTATAGTTTGAGGTTGATCCAGATGACTACATCACATCAGTCGAGGTACAATTCGACAGGATCTTTGGGCAAGACACAGAAGTTATAACCTGCTTAATCTTCAAAACAGCTAAGGGAAAAACCTCATCGCCCTTTGGACTCGAGGGTGCGAAGAAACATGAACTCAAGGACAAGAATGGTGGAAAACTTGTAGGATTCCATGGACGAGCAGGGGAAGTTCTTCATGCTCTAGGAGCATATTTTGCTCCTTCGTCGAGTACTTCTTCTGGTGGTCGTACTTCTTCGACCACTCAGCCAGCTGGATCAGCTGCCGGTGCCAAAAAACTAGAGGCAAAAGGTGGTAATGCGGGAAACCCATGGGACGATGGTCCTCATGATGGTGTTAAGAAAGTGTACGTAGGTCAAGGCGAATCAGGGGTCTCGTACGTCAAGTTCATCTACGAGAAGGACTCTAAGGAGGTCCCCGGAAATGATCATGGAAAAAAGACACTACTTGCACCTGAAGAGGTCAAATATATAAATACAAGAGAATCATTTAGCTCTAACAGTTCAATACATTAAAAAAAAATTACGTTAAATATTGTATTTACTTTCTTGCTTGCAGTTCGTGCTTGATCCAAAAGAATATATCACCGCCGTGGAGATTAACTACGACAACATATTTGGAACTGAATCCGAAATTATAACGATGCTTAGGTTCACGACAAATAAGCGAACCTCTCCACCTTTTGGACTTGAAGGTGCTAAAAGTGTGCTACTCAAAGAAGACGGCCACAAGATCGTTGGGTTCCATGGCAAAGCGGGTGCTGACATACTTCACCAAGTTGGAGTCCATGTCAAGCCCATCTCCAAGTGATTTGAGAATGTCTTCTCTTACGTCGTAATGTAATAAAGATGAGCTATATGTCTATAAAGAAAGCTCTCCTTTAGAAAATGTCATTGTACGTGTGTAACGGTAAGCAAAAGGGTTGAATAAGGTATTCCACGTACTATGTGCTTGTGTGTCTCAGTGTCCCCTTGTGGTGTAATGGAGTTGTAAAACTGTTTATAAGATGTATAATATCTTAGCTACGTTGTAATATGTACGTACGATTCTCCTTGATCTCTTCTTGATGTTTTGAGATTTCAAAATTTGTTTGGCTGATCATAATATGGTTTTGTAAAGTACTCAAAACAGAGACACATTACTTGTAAATCAGTTTTCTTTTGTATTAATTTAATATAAATTTTTAAAAATATATGGTTTCGTATTGGCACGAAATAGATCAAAAATCAAAACTAAACAAGAACAAAATAATGAAATTTTTTTTTAAAAAAAAATCAAACAATATCATCTAATCGAAGTCAATGTATATAAGACTTATACATATATCTGTTGGACATAGAAATTATCTAAATCTCATAATATATATTTCAATCAACTAACTCATGTAAAATATTATTCATATAAATTATTTTTGGTATGGATTTCACGTATTTTGTGGATCTCTCTTCATAATCGAACTTTAACAGCCGTACTCGTCAGCATGGTACACATCTTGATCCTAAGTCTTGTCTAATAAGAATCATGCCCTTTTTTTTTCTTTTTGGCACACAATTCATACTTAAATTAAAATGGCCTCATGCCCATGAGTTTAAAACCCAGAAGGGTTTGATACAGAACACGAAAATAAAGCCTGTTTTGCTAGCAGGTTAGCTTCCTGATTGAAATTGCGACGAAGATGAGAGAAATTAATATCGACAAAAGCAGAGGAAAACTCATGGATGTCGTGGACAATACCATAGATTTCCTTAACATGCATGTCGCTATTGATAGCTCTGATGAGCGTTAGATTGTCAGAGAATACCTTGAGCACGGGAATGCCAAGGGTCACTGCAGATTTGATTGCGGATCGGATCGCGATAGCTTCCGCAATAAGAGGTGAGTTGACATGCTCTTTGATGTCTGTTCCTTGGGAGAGGATAGTCTGTGAAGGTTCCGTAATAATCCAAGCTAATCCTGCCTTCTTTGATTGTTTATTCCAAGCAGCATCTGTTTTGCATGTAAATGAGATGTTTGGATCTGGATGTGAGTGGTGATGTCGTGAGCCGCCGAAGCTTGCCTTTCCTGTCGTTGGTTTCTTTGGTGTTTGGGCCAAGCCCCATTCGTTAGCCAGTCTCAAACCAATCGTTGCTGTTTCTTGGGCTGTGATGATCCTATTTTCGAAAATCAGAGAGTTCCTAGACTTCCAGAGACTCCAACATATCCAGGGGAGGATATTGTTTGCTATCCCCGAGGGAGGAAGACAGACTGCTCCTCTGAAAGCTACCACGGCGTCTTTGAACTCCATAAGTGAATCAATCCGAATTTCACTCTTGAGAGGTATGTTGCTCCACACTTCCTTTGCAAATTTACACTGGACAAAGATATGACAAGCTGTCTCACTTTCCTTGCAGCGTGTGCACACCGCCTCTGCATTAATGCCTCGTGATTGGAGATTTTCCCCAAAGGGAAGGGCTTTTTGCAGGGCCGACCACAGGAACACTCTCATCTTAGGTGAAAAGGTCCCATTCCAGACGTCCTTTACCCAATTAAATTCCTGGCCACTAGTTGACTCATGTGTCTTTTGTGATGCTGCAGAGTAGTAGCCAGACTTAGTGGAGTAAGCACCTGACTGCAGAGGTTGCCATACATACTTGTCCTCAGCTTTTTCTTGACTCGGATGGATAGCCTTAATCTGAGAAGACAGCAGAGGTAAGATCTCTTCAATTCTCTTAGTGTTCCACTCCATGTCTGTTGTTAGAAGGTCTGAAACCGTTAGATCAGCAAACTGTTCTTGGACTGGCCCGAATGGCATAATATTTTCACTTAGTGAGATCCATGAATCTTTCCACACACTAGTAGTAAGTCCGTTCCCTACAGCCTTTTCGATATTTTCCTTAAGTAGTTTTCTCCCGTGTAAGATGCTTCTCCAGCCATGTGAGCAGGAATTAGGTAGTTCTACCTTTAAGAATGACTTTTTGTGACAATTAGTCATGGGCATATTATCCGAAATCCGAAAACCGAACCGGAACCGAACCGAAAAAACCGAGACCGAAACCGGTCCGAAAATTACAAAAACCCGAACGGTTCCTATATTTCTAAATCCGAAAAACCGAAACCGAACCAAGACCGAACCGAGAACCGAACGGATACCCGAATATTTTAATTTATTAAAAATATTAATTATTTTTAATTTTAATATATATAAAATATCATTATAAATAAAAAAATCCGAACTACCCGAAAAACCCGAATATTTTTCGGTTATTTCCGGGTTTAACTCGGGTTTTCAGGATTTTTTTCGGTTTATTGGGCTTCAAACCCGAACTAAACCCGGATTATTTGTAATACGGTTCCACTTCGGGTTTTATAAAAAAATATAAACCCGACCCGAACCCGACATTATCCGAACCGAACCGATCCGAAAAATGTCCGGTTCCTAAACGGTTCCTAGACATCCCAACCCGAATAACCCGAAAACCGAATAAACCGAACCGATCCGAACCGAAAACCCGAATGCCCATGACTAGTGACAATACTTTCCTAGCAAGACTCTGGCTAGTAAGCATGTGGGCGAGGTTAGGATTCTCCAGGCTTGTTTTGCTAGGAGAGCTTGATTGAAGAGTTGAATTTCCCTGATACCTAAACCTCCGCTTGCTTTAGGTCTTGTTAATTTCTGCCAAGAGATCCAGCACATTTTTTTCTTGTCTTCTGATGAGTCCCACCAGTACCTTGTTAACACTGACTGTATACGCTTGCAGAGACTTACTGGAAGCTCAAAGCATGACATGGAATAAGTGGGAATAGCTGTGAGGACCGCTTTAAGGAGGGTGAGCTTCCCTGCTTTGGATAGAAACCGAGATGAGCGAGAAGCAGCTCTTTGTCTGATTTTATCCACCAGGGATGTAAACAGATCGCGTTTCCTTCTCCCAAAATGCTCCGGAAGCCCCAGGTATTTACCAGTGCCCCCTTCTGCTGTTATTCCTACCGTATCTTTGACCATCACTTTTCTTTCCAGAATCATGCCCTTATGCAAAAAAAAAAAAAAATCAATTTGTTTGGATGGAAAGATTAATGCTTTTTAGTGCAAAGCTTATATGGACAATGAAGATGATATAATATAAGCCCTTGTTGCTTTTAAGTGTTTACATTATGGATTTGTTACAGCTTTGAAGAATCAAGAATCCAATGTCACGGCTTATATACCTTTCAAAGTTTATAGTTCCTTTATAATATAGTTAGTATTTGTAAACAGATTAGATGTACACTCTGGATTCCAGATAACTTAAACGTTTCTACAGAATGTGGTTTGAAATTTGAATCATCCCAAGCTTCTGGGAAGGTTTCATGAAGATATGACGCAAGAATATTTAGACATTGATTTGTTTAATCATATATAGGCCAATTTAGAGTGATCTTGCTCTTGGTGGTTCTATCATTCACTAAGGATTGTGGGAAAAGTGGTCTTGCCCTTGGTAGCAGATTGTATCTGTTGATAGTTGATTGAATCAAGACACAGTGGAATAATACACATAGATATGGATATTCTCCAGATATCTTAATTAACTACTTTATTTTTTATTTGGATATTTATCTTAATTAGTTATAATTATCTTAATATTAATAGTTTTAAGGTTATTTAGTTTTCATATAAATATGATTTTTATGTTAGAATTGTATTCAGTTGATTAATTGATAAAGGTGTGATATATGAAAGAGTTTTTAATTAAACACTGAAAAAGTATTCTCAAATATAGTTTTCGAGTATTCTTAAAATCAAGGAATCTAGTTTTATCTATCGTAGATTTCGTTACCTCAGTTTGATCAAGCTACGATCTTCCGTATCAATTTTATTTGATTTGATTTTATATGGCTCATGGTGACTCCTAGATCCATAAGGGTGAAGATGACAATGAGAGTCTTTTTACTGTATATAATGAGCATTATCCTCAAGCTTAAGAATATATTTACAACGAGATCTATGGACCTCTAACATACAACATTTACATTTACGATGACGATGATTGTGTTGAATATCAACTCAACGATGGTCAGGTTCAAGACAACGTTGATGAAGTTGGTCTTCACATGGTGGAAGCAGATCCAACCCTAAAACAATTTAGAGTGGAAGCAGAAAAGCAAATTCTGGACCTATAAAAAATAGAAAGTTAATAGATGAAACAGTTTAAAGTTGTTACCTTTCACTTGACTACACAACCTTTAAATGACTAAGCTGCTAAAGATAACTTGACCAAAAGGTTATATATTTTATACAGGGCCGAAAGCATATGCTTTCGTGGTTTTTGCCCAGGGCCACTACTGGGTGGAAAGTGTATGGCAAACCAAAATTTTTGTCTTTGGTGACAGATTTTGAGACTTGTTTGAATGTTAGTGTTCTTATGGGTTGACAAAAACATTATGTGGAGAATACTCATCAAACAAAATTGTTACTGAGTCTGGTGTGATTTGTCGCTTCCTTCGACAAAGTAAACTTTTATCTTGTGTGTCAAATATTACAATGCACGTAAAGACTTTATGAAGATTTTCAAGCTTGCAATGAAGTCTGATGTTAGACATAGTAACTGGGAAATTTTTATCATGGATACCGCAAGTGTTAAGATTTGAGGGAGAATCTTCTCCAACTCAGAGAGAATGAAGAGAAATGTTCGAAATGAAAAAAATATATTTAAATAGACTCCAATATCTTAATTATTTAGTTTATTATTTATTTGGATATTTATCTTAATTAGTTAGAATTATCTTAATGATTTTAATAGTTTTAAGGTTATTTGGTTCTTATATAAATATATATGTTTTATGCTTAGAGTTATATT